GTGAAGAGAGGAGAGGAGAAGAGAGAAGAGAGGTGAGTCGAGTGACTGAAAGCCCTCCAGAACATAGGGGGCGAAAGAATGATTTTATTATTTATACTAGTACAGTCGAACAATATAAACAGAGGAGAAATTACAACAGTACCCTTATGGTACTAAACCTGAATACATAAACAACTGTCAACACTAATGTTTTGGAAAAAAAATCCACATCCATATCCAGGCATCATAGGTCTATATTAACTTATGTATGAGACTGCATCAATATCTTAAATTTAGAATGAACTGTTTTTAATCTGACTAGTCGGTATGTACTGACTAGTCATTGCATTGATTGCAGAGGCCTAAATGACCAGTGACGAGATACCCATTTAAATAAAGCATACACTTCTGAGAATGTGATATAGCCATAACTTCACAAATAGATGATTATATGAATCAGTCATGGTCAGAGAATGCTTTCAAGTATGTAGTTTCCCCCTAAACTAAAGTGAAAAAGGGGAAACAATATAAAAGAAAAGGTATTGGTTTGTGCAAAGGCCTTACTCGGGGTCTACATATCCTACAGTCCCCCGAACTACGCTTGAGACGTGACTGTATCCATCTACTGCAAGCTTTGATAGACCAAAATCTGAAACCTTTGCTCTCATGTGTTTGTCAAGAAGAATGTTGTTGCTTTTTAGGTCTCTATGGATGATAGTTGGAACACAGCCTGTATGTAGGTACTCAATGCCTGAAATAAGTTTCAGAATATAACAATTAAATTGATATCTTTGAGTAATAATAGCACAGGACGGGGGGTGTCAAAACTATAAATTATATTATCTTTCATGCATACTAACCTTTTGCAGCATCTTCAGCAATCTCTAGGCGTGTGACCCAACTGAGACTTCTCTCACGTGTTAATGGTCCTAACAAAATTTATATGCAGGTGACTGAATATCCATAGTTAAAGGGATAAATGATACTTATTACCAAGGTTCAAAATATCGATACAGGGATATACGCCGGTAGGGCATATTGGCTTGTATCAGTACTGTTTTTTATGTGTTTTTTTTAATTTTTTTTGAAACTGGTTCAGAGGGGCCGGTTTAAGGCCGGTCTACCCTCTGAACCACTTGCCGACCCGAAACACCCCCTGTAGGGGCATATCAGGAAGGCTCCAATACGATATGTATCGGCCGATACGGGCTGATACATGATGAAATTTTGATCCTTGCTTATTACTTACCATAAAGATGCTCCTTCAGAGTTCCATTCTGCATGAATTCATAAACAAGGATACTCTTTCCTTCTTCTTGGCAGTAACCAAGAAACTGCACCAGATTTCTGTGATGTATTCTTGAAAGTAGAGTGACCTGGATCAATTGAAAGCATTTGTAATTTTGTTAGAACCATTTTTTGAAGGTTAACAAAGAAAAAAGATATCTCATGTGAAGGGTCAAACTTACCAAAAGTAAAATGCTTATTTTATTCATGAAAGAGACATGAGTCCTAATTAAACATTTAAGGCGTGTCCTTATAAAGGCAAAGAAGTGTGCAAAAAATGCCCAAGTTTACATTCATATCCAGTCCACCCCTTACAAATCAACATTGTTTAATGGCCTTTATACAGGCAAAGAAATGGATATATGAAACTGAAAAAAAAAAGATTTATTCATTTATGTTTGGAAGAAGGCCATTTTTCATAAAGGAGATTACAATCAAAAAGGAAGCCAACCTGTATGACTGAAGATAAAAATGGTAAAAAGTGGTCTAGGCATTAGTGGAGGCAAAACATTTTTTCTTTAGATAGTTGTTGATTGTGAATTGATATGGGGGAATATGGATTCCATGTGGAACTCAAATGGTTGCCACTCATGAAATTAATTGTGTGCCAAATATGGTAACCAAATCTCACCAGACACATCACTAAAGAGAACCCCCTTCTTTGTCAGATTATTTTTCTTATTGATAACAATATCTAACAGATGGTGTTAAAGAGGAAAATGCATTCCTTTGACGAGATGGCAGACAACCATAATAAAAAAGAAACTAGTTTGTGAGCAAATATTTCCAATACAATTCAGCTATCAAGCCCACATATACCAAAGCCATCTATGCCAAAGAATTGGATGATCTTCACAGTGTTTTTATTTATTGATATTGGCATTAGCCTTCTATTCAGTGTTATCAATGTGGTAAAGTGATGACTAGTTGTTTTGGCCTCTCTAGTTGATTCATTGACCAGTCAACTAAAAAAGATGTGTTTGAAATTTAAGATATTGATGCATGTCATAAATAAGTTAGTAAGACTATAATTATGAAATTTAAGATATAGGCACAGCCTTTGTTTTCCCAAAAATGAGTGCAACCTTGACTATTACATGTGCTCTTTATGGCAACTCCAAACCAACACACCACTGGTTGGAAGAAAACTTAAAAGAACTTCCTTCACTGCCTTCTTTTATTTTATGATTTTTTTTCTATTTTATCTACCGTCATCAAATCATATTCCATCACAAATCATGAATATAAGAAAATGCAAACATATTTCTATATTATTTTAAATAATTAGAGATACAAACAAATATGCTTTAAAATGACTTTTTTACGAGTAACAGTAACTTTCATTAATAATGACTTTGTAGTTGGCTAGTCATGAATTGACCGGTCAACTTAGCTTATTCTTAGTCGTCCTAGGTTTTGCCACATCATGAGTATCAACCAACTAGTTAGTGATGCATTAGGTCTGGCTCTCAATTGACTAGCCAATCAACTAGTCGATGACTAGTTGATGTTTGATAACACTGCGTCCATCTATGGTTTATGTGGCATGTGATGTAGACGTGGATAAAGGGAAAGAAACCATGGAATAAGAAATGAAGTTTATTGGAGTTCCTGTTACCATGGTGGTTTCACAATTTCTTATTTTCTATTTTTGGTTAATTTTTAATTATTTTGGTTCAATTTCTTTTTATAGTTGTCACATGGACAGGTTTAAATCAGTAAATACAGTCAACATAGTCTTATTACCAAGTCCTTAGTTTTTAGAATAATTGGTTATAATGACATCATTTTTCTTGTAATTGAAGTTTTAGAGGCCAAAAATTGTCCGTTCAACTTGATATTTTAAGTTGTTAGATTTTCAATTAGTATCCAAGGAAACCACAATTTTGCAAATTCAGTATGATTTTATAAAGTTGTGGCTATTTTACTGATAGGGTATTAATATATTTAGAGATTCAAATCCTTTTACATAGTGCTATGTTGAGATGGATTCATGTAGCCAACGCCAAATAGTTGGGATTAATGCTTGTTGAGTTGAATTGAGAATTACTAGGAGTCCAAGTTAGTATCAAGTGTTTTTGTGGGTTAAAGATAGATTTATATTAGTTTTAAAGCCAGTAAGATTGTTTCTAGTCAGCTTTTGAGGTCTGACCCCCTTGATAAGTCTATAAATATGATATTTGTAATTGAATTTTTTAGAGTTGATTCGAGGGATAAATTTTTAGCTTATGAATTGTATTTTGGGAGCTTGAATTGGGTATATCTTTACTCCCTTTCTCTGGTAATGTTCTTTTTCCTTTTTTTGCTATTATGATTTCTTTAAGTTTGTTGTTTCCTTTCTTGTACGGAATCTACTGCTGTTCTTTCTTTATTCTTTGGTTTCTTCTAGTTTCTCCTTGCTGAAATCTCTGTTCAGCATTACTATCATATAGTCTAGCAATATTTCATCCTTGGTCCCAATTCTCCAAATAAGAAACTGTTTTTACCTCTATCTAAATCCCAATTTTCTTCTGCATAAAGTTACCCTGCCATCACCCTTAACTTTTCCGTCTCAAGAAAAATGACTTTGTTTATTTCTTCCTATTAATCCTTTAAAATTATGTTACACTTGCCTATTAAATAAGAATGTAAAAATACGATAAAGAGAAAAGGCTCAGCACAAGAACATTGTAACTGTGGTAATATGCTTGGTCTCAGATCATATAAAAGCTTAAGCTGTAAAAGAATATGATTTTTGAGAATAGGTAACAGAGTTATAAAAGAATGTGTCAAGAAATGAGTGTAGAGAAATGCAATTGAATAATATTTTAAGCTACCTCATTTGAAAATTCCCGCTTCCCCTGGTATGAATTGCTAGTTAGAACTTTGACTGCAATTTCCTTTCCATCTTTCATCTTTCCATAGTATACCACTCCAAAGCCTCCTGAACCAATTCTCTTCTCAAACTGCCTGGTGGCATCTTCAATTTCAGCAAATGAAAAGCAATGTGCAGTTTCTGTGGTAACATCATTTGAGGCAGAAACTAGCTTCTGAACAGGCAAGGAAGGTGCAAGCTGCTCTGGAACAAATTAAGAAACAAAACATCCCAATTTGGTGTGGTTTAATGAGATTATTACTAAGTGTCGGCAAATTAAGAAAGACAGGATTTGCGGCAAATTAAGAAAGATATGATTTGAGATTTGAATAAATTTAGGAAATATTAGATTTGAATAAATTTAGGAAAGTCAGATCCTAGGATTAAGGGAAAGATTTAGTCAATCCCTGATTGAGAGAAATTCTAGGAG